AGCACTTGCGGCCGCGTTCTCAGAGCCGAGAAACGCCGATGGAGTTCGCGCTGTTATGTTAGATTATGTTAGGTTAGGTTCAGCTCTGGGACGCGATTGAGAGTCCTGAGAGGTATCCATTAATGCGATGGACTTTGATGGAAAGCGCCTTGTTGTCTTGGGATACAGGGATGAGGATAATAGCGAAAATAGAAGACCCTATTTTCATGATCCTCTGTATTGTCGGACAAGTAGCAAAACTAAAAATATCACTCAATGAAAATCCATACTGAGCAAATTAATCTCAAAGAAAGGAAACAAAGAAATCCAATAAACAGAGAAACAACCAAGTGGAAAAATGAACAAACTCCAAATAAGAATAAAATTCCAAGAGAATATAGTTAAAAAATATTGCTAATGTAATATAATAAATATAAATAATTATGTAGCATATATTCATTATAGTATAAATATAGGGTGTCCCAGAAATATGTAAACACACTTTACATGATTATAAAAACAGTATATATTTAAATTGATTACAGATTATGTTGGTAGCACTTTAAAATATATTTACGTTTTTCAAAATCTAGTTTAAAATCAGCCATTATGGATTTTTTAGAAAAGAAAAAATTAAATAGAAAGAAGACGGTATTAAAGTGTGCATACGTTTTTCTGCGACACTCTGTATAATAAATATAATATAATTATGTAGTATATACTTATCATAGTAAAAATATAATAAATATAGTAAAATATAAAAAATATAGTTAAAAAGACGTGGACATATGAAGTAAACAAAGATCGAATCCTACAATGGAGTAATAAAGTTAGCATACAAAAAGAAAATAAAGAAATTTCGAAAATCATTGCAACAAAGAAGAACATAACCAAGAAGAAAAGCAAGCAAGCAAATGGAAAAATGATCAGATCCGATGTATTTCGATCACTTTCGAACGATCCTGAAATGAATGAACTCCACGTTGCAATTTCACTTTCTTACGACTCTGCTTGCGCAAGCCTCAAGGTTTCCCACATTACGAAAGCCGATAGATACAACGAGCGAGCAGCCGAGTGCTGGTCGTCATCTCGCATGCCTTTTCGTACTCGTCTAAACGCAGTATTATCTTTTGCATCGTGAAAGCGTTTCCTATCAGCCATCCTCGAAGCTGCTACAAAACTATTTCACACAGCCAAGCCTCGACAGCGACACGTATTAGTCCATTTGACTGTCTTTCATCGGAGGACATCATGCATCTAGCAAGCCTCCTCTAAAAAGAATTACTGACAATTATATAGGCTCAGAATCTCATACAAAAGTATCCAATAAAATTTTTAAACAAATTTCACGCGAATAAAACAGTCAATTCTAAAACTACACCACTCTTTGAAACAATTCCTTTTCCAAACATGAGTTAATCTCTTAGAATTAGAACAGAAATTAGCACCTTTTTGCTAAAATAAGTAATGGCTGACTAAAATGGCTAATTAAAATGGCCGACTAAAATGGCTGACTAAAATGGCCGACTAAAATGGCCAACTAAAATGGCTGACTTATGAGGAAGACTTAAAAAAGAATTACTGGCAATTACATAAACTTAGAATCTCATACAAAAGCCTCCAATAAAATTTTAAAACAAATTTCACGCGAATAAAATAGTCAATTCCAAAACTATATCACTCTTTCAAACAATTCCTTTTCCAAATATCAATTAATCCCCTTAGAACAGAAATTAGCACCTTTTTGCTAAAATAAGTAATAGCTGACTAAAATGGCTGACTTATGAGGAAGACTTAAAAAAGAATTACTAGCAATTACAGAGACTCAGAATTTCATACAAAAGTCTCCAACAAAATTTTAAAGCAAATTTCATGCAAATAAAACAGTCAATTCCAAAACTATATCACTCTTTCAAACAATTCCTTTTCCAAATATGAGTTAATCCCCTTAGAACAGAAATTAGCACCCTTTTGCTAAAATAAAATGGCTGACTTATGAGGAAGAGAACAGATAGTCTCATTGTATTAACTTATTAAACCTACCAAAGCCTAACCCTACCTAAATGACTGTTTTTAAATTTTCCATTAAAAATTCTGCATTCACAATTATCACTTTGATCACCTAACCTTCAAATTTCTCTCTAAATCACTGATCTCCAATCGGTGAAGGCGTTTTCTTATCTTGAACTGTCAATTTTTAGCATTTAGCCTAATCTATTAACGATAGTTAAGTTTAAATCGCGATTCGCTGTATACTACATGCAAGAAAATCGGTGGACTGGTCACTATTCGATAAAAGTTGAGAGTCACTGCTCTAAAGGCTCCTCCTTTATCGTGCATCACTGGTGCCCGGATTTTGTTAAAATTGTGCTATTGAAACGGCGAATCTCGAGTGTTCGAGGACGTTCTGTCATTTTCCATGACCGTCGATAGCAACGTGGGAACTAGCCGCGATAATCAGACCGTTTCGATTCGCTAGAGGAGAGCCGAAGTGTCGACGGACGCCGTCGAGGACCGTTGGCGCGACGAGCGTGTGGATCGGTGTGCAACGATCATCGAGAACATTCGAACGACGCCGTGTTACGTCCACGGGGCACGTGAGGTATGCAAACAACGACAAGAATTACCGGGAACAGTCGGGCCCGGTAGAGGCCATTGCCAAAAGTGAAATCGATGACTCCTCGAGCAGGATAAATATTGGCCCCGTGGATGGAGCGCCATTAAGGAGGTCACTTTCCATCTCCGGGCGACTCGTTGCACGCTTCACGGCGATGTATGTCGCGAATTTCAAAAGTTCTCATCCCTCGACGAAATATGGAGACACTGGGAGACTCGGATTGGAGACGCTGACGCTTGCCAAGAAATAGCAGTCTCTAAGAGGGCTGTATCGTTTGCCAGAGTTCCTTTTCGAGTTACCAGAGAATTATCTGTGGGAAGTAGTGGTTAATCATTTGCCTATTGGAGGTGTACTTTTCAGTTAAAACAGGATTGCAGTTGCTTTTGGTGGAACTCCTGGCTTTATCAAACTCGTGGATAGAGAAAGGATAGGATTACTATGTGAGAATGAGCTGTGAGAAGAATGGCTATTGATACGATCACTTGTACTTTAAATGTTTCCAATTGGCAGTATTATTCAGTTATAACATGGTCTGTGTAACCTTTTAGGTTAGACTTTTGACTCCACCAAACTTGTCAATAGACAAAGGGTTGGGTTATCACGTGAGAAGAGTTGACGAGTGTTAGCTGTGAGAGGAATGAGCTGGTGATACCAATATTTCATATTGGAGATGCATTCTTTGCTTATAATAGGACCTGTCTGAGTCTTTTAGGTTAGATGAGTAACTCCAACAAACTTGCCAACAGATGAGGGATCGTTACTTGAGAATAATCGACGAAAATAATCCATGAGAGTTACTTATATCTTCAGATCTAACGGAATCTGTGAAACCATAATGGGTTAAATTCTGTCCACCTAATTCAACGAATGGGATTCCATTTTAAACACCAATTTCAGACTTTTCGTGTTTACAATCGCTAAAAACGTACGGCTGACTTTGACAGAAATTTCATTAAACCGGAAATTATATTTAGGTATACACTATGGATCGATTATAGTTATAGTACAGGGTCCAAGCAACCCTAACTTCACCAGATTCGTCAGTAGAGTTAGTACAGGATTACTCGAGGATGCGAGCTCGTTAAGCCGCGTGAAAATAGTCTGGAAACGGATAGGAAAGGAGAGAATTATATGTTCATACGTCGAAGAAGGCGTGAGTCGTTATCGACGTCGCATCGAGGCATCCGAGTGAAACACGACGATGATGACGACGACTCGGAGGTAGGGACAATAGAAAATCAGCGACAGCCGGTGCCAAGGACGGGCAGTTCTCCGCCGGTTTCGTAACTCGTGAAAGTCTGCACAAGGGACACTGACCTCACCCTACCTCCTTCTCTTCCTCCTCCAACACCTTCGTCCCTCCACCTCAGCCGCGATCGCCTTCAGCAACGAGAACGCGTGTCCCACGGATCCGTGGCGTTCGACCGTGTGCACGAAACTTTAAGGGTTTATCCCAGCTCTCCCCGGTGTCACACATGCGAACCGGAGACCTCTCTCCACCGACTATTCCAGAAATACTGGAAGGTCAGTGAAAGGTCAACGAAAGACCGGATAGAATTTACGTAGGAAGCACGACCCCGCGACACTTCCATTCAGCGGGTCGAAAACAACGAAGCGCCACCGTGGTGAATCGCGGAACCTCGGTGCTTCTCAGCGCCATCACAGCGTCTAGGCGACTGACAGTGTCCTATCTGAAGGGTTTTAATGCTAGATTTACGGAACCTGTCAATTTGACGGAAGGGTTCCTCCAATTATACGATGGTAACAGATTTAGTTAACTTATATTAAGACTGTTAATATAATATATAATTGTTTTTAAATTAAACTAATCGTTAAAAAAAGGTACATGGTTTCCTTTACCTAACAATTTGACAGGTGTCCTTAGAAATAGCTATACAGATAGCGTCCGTAAACCTAGTGTTAAGAATGGAGCAGGGTAGACAGGTTGATACACTCGAGATACTAGTATCTTCTGTAGAGACAAGGCTAAACGAGGAATTAAATTAAAAAATGGTATAATTGTGGTGTTTGGAGTACGATAATTTAAGATAATTCTAAAAAGTTGTAATTATACGTATAAATTTATATTTCCTGGCCCCTTCATTCTTTAATTTTACCTATATAACAGTGCACAGTTTAGGTTTGTTTGCATAATTAATTGACAGGTTACATAAGAGTGGCTTTTTGGAAAATGTAAATGTAATCCTACCAAAATTTTATCATAAATGTTGAGATATGTTTAATAAAATAAATATTGATGTGAAAATATTTATAAAAATAGTATGCAAATAGATATCTGTTCTATTTGTTCTCATAGGACCTGCACTCTATCAGAGCTAGTATCTTGGAGCAGATGAATTTAACGAATGGAAATTACTTGAGAGACAAATTTTCTGTGTTCAAGGTGGTACACTTAAGGCAGAGGCTAGACAACACAGTGAGCAGTTCGAGGGATCGAGCTTTCCCTTTCGACGCGACCGTCGCCATGATCCAGTCCCTCATAGACTGCGACGAGTTCCAAGATATTGCCACATTAAGGGTACGTTTTCCCAGTAATTCCATTCTCAATGAAAAATTTCATAACCAAAAAAATTCTGTCGACCTACAACTCCTTTTACAGTGACAAATTGCTTAAAATAAAGGAAATGCAATTTAATAATTGCTCTTATAATAAGAAATTCGTTTCAAAAGGAAAAGAATTACAAATAGCCTTATTTCGTCCATCTTTATCGGTAAAAAATAAATAGCACACTGTAGCTTCACTAAGTCTCCGCAGTGGCGCCACCGGAGCGTCAGAGGTTAATCTTCCTAACCTTGGCGCCTTCGCGAATAAAAGTTCAACATCGAATATATTCGCGCCTGTACTTTTCGTTTCACGTTGCAGAACTTGGACGAGCTGCTGGACCATAAATCAAACTTAAGCGACAAGCTGTGTCAGATAGGGGACAGCATAGTGTACAAGTTGGTGCAGTGGACCAAAAGGTTACCGTTTTACCTTGAGCTACCGGTCGAAGTTCACACGACGTTGCTCACCCACAAGTGGCACGAGATCCTGGTGCTGACCACCTCCGCTTACCAAGCGATACATGGTCAGCACAAGTTCTCCAACGTCGGTAGCGACGTGATGGGAACGGATTTTATGCAAGAAGTAATTACCTTTCTTTACCATGGTCGTCTAAGTCGCTGCTCGATTTAGCACAGATCCGCGGATAAGGAACTTTCACTTTAACCGACCGAGATATATAACCGGCAGATTTATTTCGCGCGGTGAACCGATAGCGTGCACCTGCTTCCTTACCGATCGGATCGACTTTTTTACCGACGGAGCGAAGTAGGCTACGGTTTTTGTCTCGGGCAGTGTCGAATAAATAGGATCCTTAATACGCTACTATAAATCTTGGTCGAGGAGATGTATATTTTTCTTTGCCAAAGGCTTTCGTGAAATTCGAGAAGCACTTTCTATGCGCTTCTCTTGAAACGTGAGGAGAATAATACGGTGAATTGTCCGCGAGATGGTCGATTAAAGGAATATATTCGTGCACAGGTTTCGAACAACATGTATACGTTGCAAACGTGCCTAACGAACATGATGGGCCGGCCGATAACCATGGACCAATTACAGCAAGACGTAGGACTCATGGTGGAAAAGATTACGTATGTCACACTGATGTTCAGGAGGGTGAGATTACGGATGGAAGAGTACGTCTGTCTGAAAGTAATCACCATGCTCTCGCAAGGTAAGTATTTTCACCGGGCAACGAGTATTTTACACCAAGTATGCACATCCATCGTACGTGTCTATTTTTTCTACCCCCTCCCCAATCGAGATACTTAAGATATAAAGAAATGCATCCTTTTTGCTAATGCTGCAATTGGCGAAGCAAAATGTAAGTTTCAGTGCTAACATAGCGTACAGCTCGTAATTATTCTAATTAGCACGATGATACGAACAGTCATATATTTACGTTCTTCGTGCCATTTTGTATATTCATAAAAATTCCCAAATATTATATATATTCAACATATCATCTATATATATATATTTCCATAAAACTTTAAATATTTTATATATTTAATCAATTCTAAATATTTTTTTTTTTTTTTTTTTTTTTTTTTAAATTTGAATATTCAATATATTCCCAAAAATTCTGAATATTCTATATATCATCGACAAATTCTAAATATATGGGATATGGAATATTTAGAATTTGTCAATGGTGTATAGACTATTCAAAATTTTTTGGGAATACATAGAATATTTAAAATTAGAAAATAATTTCTGTATATTCAAGATATCTAAAAAAAATTTCTAAATATTCGATATATCTTTAAAGAAATATCATGGAGGAAATAAATTACGAGATATTATATTAAAAATGTCCACGAGTCTCGACTGAAATGCAATTTTTCATGTGCTTCTCTTATTACGGATCAAACATTGGAAAAGCTTAGGAAACGAAAATTAAATTAATTAATTAAATTAAGAAACGAAGATACGGGATAATTACGAGCAATAAACTTAACATAGCTTGAATCGTATGTATCGTTGCGTGCAAGTTGATCAATTAAACGTTAGAGACGAAACACAGCTAGAGCACGCGCGTTCCGAGAGCTATCCGCACCTAATCACGATTCTTCCTCTTCTATCTGCCCTCTCTTAGCACGTGGAGGTACAATGGAATTAGAACATCTACAAGAACGGTACATGAGCTGTCTGCGAAGTTTTGTCGAACACAGCGCGCCCCAACAGCCGAATCGATTTCACGATCTACTCGTCAGGTTGCCCGAAGTAAGTTCGAAAATAGAATCGAAATGATCACCGTATGAACCGTGTACAGTTCAGTTTCTCGCTCGACGCAACGCGGTATAGCTATAGCCCATTCGAAAAAATAGAATAAAATGAAATAAAATAAAATGAAATACGGATTTACGAAACTGTACACAATTTTATATCGATGATAGAGAAAGATTATAGATTACAGAGATTTATAGAAAGATTATAGAGAGATAGAGGAGAATAGTAAAATTTTTTGAAATTATTTTTGCAAACGTGTACTCGCGAGACGATCCGAAGCAGTACGATCTAAGTCGAACCCTGTTTTTCTTCCTGAATTCCAGGTACAATCGGCGGCAGCTCTTCTACTTGAGAGTAAAATGTTCTACGTTCCTTTCCTATTGAACTCAACAATTCAAAGATAGTAAATAAAAAACAAACTGACGATAAACGAAGCTGAATACCTATATACATACTATACTATACCCGTAAACAGAGGTGTATGATCGGGTGTGAGTGGAATCGGGAGAGGATCTGGGACATGTCTCGGCGAGGGTGCGTTATTTTTTGTCTCTGTCTCTTTTCATCCAATCCCTTTCTCTCGCTCCGTTGGCCGTTTTAGCCGTAGGTCCGAGAAAAAAAAAAAAAAAAAAAGAAAAAGAAAAATAAAAATAAATGGAAGAAGAGGATTTGGAAATTGGAGACCGCGAGGGATACGGAGGAGGAGAGAGAATGCTTTAGATAAGAAATGAAAAAAGAAAAAAGAAAAAAAGAAATTAATGAAAGAATATAAAGAGTTCGAGAGAGAGCGAGAGAGCGGGAGAGAAAGAGAGGGAGAGTGAGATAGAGAGAAAGCGCGCCACCTCGAGATGAGAAATCAATCGAGGAGGGAACTGAACTTTTTTATCGAAACTAAAAGACTATAATAATATATTTCTGTACGCAGTACCGCGCAACTACGTCATTGTGTGTTCACGTTGCATAATCCGATCGATAATAAGACTCTCGTTACGTACGCTCACTGTAGGCCACCTACTACCACCTACTACTACTGCTGCTACTACTACTGCTACTATTTACTACTTACTCTCCACCACTATCAAAACTAAATAGCAGACTATACCAAAATGACCGAAAAGATCAATCGACCGATGTTGATGATATGGTGATCATAATAATAACGATGATAACGATGATAATGTCAATGACGATGATGATGATGATGATGATAATGATGATAATGATAATGATGATGATGATTATAATGATGATGATTATAATGATGATAATGATAATGATGATAATGATGGTGATGATGGTGATGATGGTGATGATGATGATGATGATGACGATCGACGACAGATGAACAGCAAACTCACGAAACTCAGAATAATCGAAACAATCCTTAACCTATTGAACGCCGCATCTCTTGAGTATATTTACATGCGAGTATAATTAAGTATATTACGGACAAATGAGCACGAACATCCTTGACAGCAAAATAACTCTAGGCGCCTATAAATACTTGAACCTTCTCGTCGATGTATCCACGTGATTCTAACCTCTAAACTAACCAACCGATCGTTCTCATCACGTACCGCAAACGTAAGTGTGATATTTCAGTTACCATTCTAAAATAAGAGAAGATACACGGAACACACGGCCGTCGAGTGGATTTTTATTAACGGAACGTCGTCTATAACCGGAACGGGACATGTCTGGGATGGATGTACGTACGCAAAAACGACGACGACGACGTTCGCGTGACCGTCGGATTTTACAAGTGGGAAAGTTAAGGTTACGAGCTGCAAACGGTGCGTAAGGCCAGTCTTGCCGGACTGTTCAGTGGCGCCATTCCGCTGTACTAGAAACCAAGATGGCCGACGTTGAAAACATACGGATGGACATCTCGGTTAGGATCAATTTAGGCTACGTACGGACTTATCGATTCGTAAATCGTCCTCGTTGTTATTGTCGTTCTTGTCGTCATTCACCACTCCGAATCATGGTCCAAGCGCGCAACACAGAAGACTATATTATATATACATATATACATATATATATTCACCGTTTTGTTAATTTACATTTTATCGTCATCGACGTGATCTTTACGCGAAAAGTATCGTGCATCATTCACCGGTCGAAGATGTCCTTGTTCGTAACCAATCTTTTACTCGTCTCATCGAACGATCCGATCTGCATCTTCATATACGAGATCACGAGATCGCGCGTTTCTGGAGCTTACTATATGAAGTGCCGCGTACGGGACTATCCGTGATAATTCATTTGACGAAAAAAAGGGGTAAGCTTTCGCGAGATTTTCGACCATGTTCGCTTCGACCACTTGCAAAAATGTTTTGCAAAAATTTTCGTAACGTACGTTCTCGGACCGATGGCTGATTTTTCGACGTAAGTAACATTTTTAAACGTTTTTTATATAATTCTAATATGAATTCGTAGCCTGCCGTATCGGGGTGATATTTTTTCTATCGAAAATCCTGGCTAGGATCGGATCGTTCGAACGTTTCTCGTTACCAGGTGTTCACCATTGATCCGCGACGAAAGATTGTTTTTTATGATTCCTCGTTGAAACGACTGCGATAATTTCATAGTATTATATACAAGAAAGAAAAAAAAAAAACGAAAAAAAGAAGAAAGGAAGGTAAAACGCGTAACCGAACGAAAAATACGAACAGCAAGAGGCTTGGTATTTCTCTGTTACGGGGAAGCTCATATTCGTGACGAAGGAAAATGGAAAACAAAAATTCAGGTAATTCTATTACATTTTTTTTTTTTTTTTTTTTTTTTTTTTTTTTTTTTTTTTTTTTATCTCTTATACAGGCTTTCATCCGATTTACCAAACTGTTCCCAATTTGGCAAATGTAGATGTACATGTGCGTACATTTATGTGTCGCGGACACGTGTGATACTCAGTTTCACCATGACACGGAAATACCAGGCACTCCGGATTGGCTCAATTATTTAAGATAGCGAAATCCATTGTAGGAAATCAAGATAACGATAGGAAAGCAAAACCGGTGGCTGACGCCAGTCGAAATCGTCTTGTTCGTGTCTTGGAAAAGAAAATGTGAAAACGAAAAAAAAGATGAATAATGCTCCTTGTATACGCATGTAATGATTAATCAGCGCACGTTCTATCGCAAACGTGATTGTTTCATCTTGCCTCCATAGAAATTATCGTAAACACGCGCTAATCACCGGTACGCATACGATCACGAGTACGATGAAATCGAATCCCCTCCCCTTTTCTTTTTTTTTCGATCCCGAAGCACCATACCGCGTATCTGGATGCCTTCGGTCGTGTTGCATTTATCCCCACTCTTCAAGCCCCCTCCCTAACCTTCAAGGACTCCCGATTCCCCTACCCCTGTTCGTCGATCTCGCGCATCAGTCTGTCCGTTGGATTCACGAACGTCTTCGAATCGAGACGACAGTTACCAAGCGAATCTCTGCTCAAAACAAGTTTCACCGAGGCTTTCCGCGAGGAACTTTCTCTACTCTCGACAAACCTTGTTGCCTTTTTCACATCAAGACAAAAGTTTCGAGTTTCGCCGGACTCGTGGTCGCGAGCGCACGTACGAAAAAAAAAAAAGAAAAAATCAACACGAGAACTATACACACAGACCTTGGGCCTACTAGCCTAGGGATACTTGTCCATACTATAAGACTTAACTAACGATGGGATACTTCATACGGTAAACAATGTATATTATTTGCGGTTAAGGAACTGGGGGTAACGGTTCCTGTATTCCCCGGACATCATCGTACACTTGTCTCTGTGTTCAATTGGACGGTCGATGAGGTCGCAACCGCGAGAGAGAGAGAGAGAGAGAGAGAGAGAGAGAGAGAGAGAGAGAGAGAGAGAGAGAAAGAGAGTGCGTATGTGTGTGAGAATGAGAAAGTGAAAGAGGGATAGAGAAAACAAGAATAGAAGAACGAAGAAGAAAGAAAAGAACCTCGCTAAATTATGTTAAAATAATTTGCAATCCATTGGCTAACGTGTTTCGTATTATATAGCTACCAACGGGAATAACATTTTTCATTCTTCCGATAAAGCGATCGTCGTGGTTTTCTCTCGTTTACGCGCGAAAATTTGATTTGAAGTTACCGTTCGTATAGTGCAATACGAGAGGGGAAACAACGTGTTAGCATTTAGACCGATACGTTTGTTCCTTTTCGCTCTCTTCCTTCTGTCTCCTACCTTCGTAGACATTTTTTGCGTTCCTCGCTCCCCCTTCCCCTACTCCTGTTCTCC